AAAACATAAAAGAATAAATTTAAAAAAAAAGAAAAAAAAAAAAAAAAAAAAAACAAGGTATGGAAACAAATGGAAGAAGATGAAAAATTCTATAGCTCACCTTAAATTTCTTTTGATATACTAGTTGATTATTTTGTATTGAAAACCAACGCCTATATGACATTAAAAAAGAACAAGAAAAAAACAACAATATATTAAGCGATTGTTGGGATGTACATTTATCAGTGTTAATGCAAACAATTAGTAGAACATAATAGTACAGTGTTAACCACCACTTGACCAACAGCAGAATAGCTTGGGAAGTTGCACAGAAGGAAGCTGTAAAGATCGATATGTTAGGCCATCTTACTAATAGCCAGTGGAAAAATGATTACACCACACAGAAATCTAGAAAGCAGCAAGATACGATATACATAAGATCTGTATTACAAAAGATGACACAAATAAAATATGAATGTTGTTGACGGCAACCTAATGTGTAAAGCTGTACAAAGATTTTTTTATTTAAAAGGAGAACTATGGGGTCAGTGTTTTTCCCCATAGTTCTCCTTAGGGTAACGGGATCCCTCATCCATGCTAAATAATGTGGATGGACGAATCTTCCCTACCAGCTATTGTATTCCGATAGCTGGCTTCTGCGACTGTCTAAATACCGAAACAGTGACTGCATCCATCCGGCTCCTTTGAAATAATATAACTTGAAAAATTGACTTTTGTTGCGTCGGGTGGTGCTAACAAGGCCAACTATGGATTGAATTTTGACCAATTCAGCAGAAAAAGGGCAACATTCTATCCGTGTATGGCCAGCTAAAGTGCATTTTCTCTTGTCTGAGTGTAAACTGCTCAAGATTTCGTCAGCCAATACTCAGACAAGCATTACCTATATACTGTACTGTACTGGCTTACACTGCAGGAAAAGCTGAAATATCTGCATAAAGCTGCCAATGTCATTAGACTGTAATATCCATCTGAAAAGAGCACTGGTGTAGAGGAGATTAGACCTACTACTTCTAACTTCAGAATGATTCGTTCTGATTCGTTGTTATGGGTTGCTGCACACCACTGGCCTTATTTAATGACACAAAGCATCTCAATGAGTCTTTAATGACCATAACTATTTACTTGTCTTACTAGCCAGAAGATATTTTACACATTTCACAAATGTAACTACTTCTTGTTTCTAAAAAAATAAATGCTGCTCTCTGAGAAATATATAGTCTGCTATTGCAGAGCCACTTTTGGAAATGTTAGTTGCTTTAGCTTTAATACATTTGGAGGTACTAGCTATACACCAAGTGCAATTCACTCAGTGGGTGGCCCTGTCTGCTAGCTGCCACCCAATATCCTTCTATAAAAAGAAAATCAAATGAGTCGGCCAGAAAACTGCCAGCTGAACAAAAAGCAGACTTTCAAAATACAATAGCCATGGCAGGAGATACCTCCATACAGCCTAGTAAATGTAGGTGAAAGAATCTGTTAGATTTTTTACATTCAGCCTGATAGCTGAAAGAAAACGATCTACTAGTGTATACCCAGAATAACTTAGAGCAAGCACATTACCATGCCCTCTACTGTTCAGGTAAAGACAAAAACCAGCCTCTATTCAAAAGGCCTGTGCTGGGTGCACCACTGGTGACCTCCCCTTTGAAAATGCTAATAGCTTTGTTTTCATTCCGATTCAAAGGCATTAATACTTTACTGACCATGGACAAGCAGATAAGATCCTACTTCAATTGCTGCATGCTTGTTCCATTTTGGAGAAGTACAGAAAGTACTGAAGCTAAAAGATTGCTAGGAAAGCAAGTCAATGAAAATGTTCACAAGGCCAGACTCAGCAGCCCAATACCTATCTCTACGACAGGCCTTGTGTGGAATGTGTAACATTACTGATGTAGCACTTTGCTGTAGGTGATACACCTGTGTATTGGGACAACCATGTATGAAAAGTACTCAGCTTCCAAAGTGACAGTGACTCAGGCTTCGGGTAAAGGAAAACGTACTTGGACAATAACAGGGTCATTCACAAAAGGGTGAAGAGTTTGGAGAAGACACAAGTGAACAATCTAGGACAACATAGCTGAACTGGAGAGGGAGCTGAACGGGAGAATTCTTCCAAATCAGCAATTTTGGACTAGATTGTTGACTTCTCCTGCCTTCTCCAAACTCTTCACCCTTTTGTGAATAACTCTGTAAATGTCTTAAAGAGTAAACTGGCTCACTTAATAAGGCAAAGAATATGTGCAAACTGCAGTAAGTGACAGCAAGCAATAATTTGTCTTCAATCTTATACCAATAAGAGAAATCTGCTAAAAACAAGTTATTGCATTTTGCAAATCACAGTATTCTGTACAGGGTTACTAGGTAAATCTACAAATGCTGTAAAGGTAATAAAAGGGACCCAATCAGGGAAGTGGGTATGAGGGTTTGTGCTTGCGATACTATTACCAGTAATTACTATTATGTAGGTTGCTGTTACAAATGGCAATATTTAACATCGCAGGTGATGTCCTGATACTGCAGGGATTATCATGCTAGTACACAAGAGTGGGGGGGGGGGATCTTATTATTTGGTCTATATTATCACAAATTATAAGATCACTCCACTTTCTAATAAAATGTTGTGGTTTGGTGTCCTCTATTACAGCCGCTACCATTTCATTCAGATGATGTATTTGGTGAATGTGCAGTAAGAAACAAAGACTGGTAAGTAGAGATTTTTATTAACATGCTAGGAAATCAAGTCAAAGGATTTGAAACAGAAGTGTTAATATCATGCCTTTGCTCACAACATGAAAAATAAGAATACAAAGAATGCCTAAACATAAAAGTCAGCAGAAATACAGACAGCACTCAGGCGGTTTTCCTATCATCTGTTCTGCAGTCACATTAAAAGAGGAAACCCTGAAGCCCGATAGGGGAAATGGAAAGCTTCGAAGCTGTGGAAAAGAATAGGAATCACAAGCTGAATGGGAGGAACAGAGGGAAATACTGACACGGGATGAAAGAGGAAATCAAGTTCAATCACAAAACAAGAAGTTATTAGTAACTGGATTAGTAATCTAAATTCCCTGAGAAGGCAAGGGGAGTATTTGTGTGCAATATGTATTCATTACCAGAACACATACTGAATTACAGAAAGCTGGTATAACAATCACTCCAGCCAACAAAATGGCAGCAGATTGAAACGCATTTAGCAGCACCCTTTGCCCCTTTATACGCTGTGTGAGGGGCTTCTAAGGCATCTAAGTGAATGTGTAGATTACATGCAGTGATAAGGACTGTTGGTATTAAGCAGTCACTCCAGTAACAAATATTACATTTATGGATAAATCTTGATAGACTCAATCTTCTACTGGATTCTTTAAATTTCTCAGGAATTCCAGCCCTAAGATTGCATTTCTACTAGTCTCACTTTGCCAGTGCTACACATGGAATCTATTCTTCCTTTACAACACTACAGTCCTAGTACTGTGACCATGGTGGATATGTCATTAGCACTGCGACAAGCTTGTGTCAAAGTACAAAGCACTTGTTTATTGCATATACATAGAAAAACAAAGTATCAGGACTGCACGCAGGTACCTTCAGTAAGCATGTGATCACATGTCTGATGAAGGGTGCCTGTACGGTCCTGAAACATTGTTATTCTATGTGATCATGCAATAAAGAGCTTTGCACTTTGAAACAAGCTCGTCGGTGTGCTGATGAGATATCTCATCCATGCTTTACACTGTGACCAGCTGGGGATTGTTACAGAACCCTTTTTAACCATATGGTCAATTCCACTGATATTCCACTGATATACTAGGGATGCGCCGATATATCGGCCGGCGAAACATATACAGCAGTGCATCCGTTCTTTCTCTCCTCCCCACTGGGCGCTGAAACTGTCACAGGCGGCCGAGCGCTGCGAGCAGCTGGAGTTTCTCCTCCCCACACCGCTCAGCATCCTGTCACAGATCGGCAGAGCAATGTGTGGGCGGAGACAGCTTGCAGCGCTGTCACCGGAGGCTGAGGCTCCGCTCGCTCAGCCTCCTGTGACAGTGAGTCAGGAAGGGGAGCGAGGTACAAACGCTCAGCGGGCGGGGTACAAACACCCAGCAATCAGTGATCGCTAAGTGTTTGTAGATAATTGAGGACATGGTATGTTTACTATATGCTCAATTATGAATGAATGGGAGTGATCTACATCACCTCCTGTTAATTCATGATTGTGGCTATAGTAAACATACTATGTTCTCATGTTATAAATGAACAGGAACACTCAGTATTGAGGATTCCTGTTCATTTATAAAAGGGGCTGCAGAAAAAGAGATTGAGGACTCTGTGTCCTCAGTCTCTTTTTCTATTTTAAAAAGGGAAATATCAGGGGTCTGTTTAGACCCCTAATATTTCCCCGAAGCCCCTAAAAGGGGAAAAAAAGAAAAATGTAATAAAAAATAAAATATAAAAAATAAAAACAAAAATGTTACATTTTTTTGGAAAAAGTTAAAATAAAAAAAAATTTCGGTTTCGGCCTGACATGTTTTTTTTATTTCGGGTTTGACATTTTCATTTCGGTGCACCTCTAGTGTAAACTGTATATTCCATGTGACAATTGCCAATTCAGCTATTGACCACTATGCGCCTAATGTTCCACTTGGATATCCTGGTGCATTTCCAAGACTTGTGGCCAGGTTTGGTCTCTCATACACTAAGTGGCATATTTAAAAAAGAAGCAAGTCTGACTTTCATCAAACATTCACTACAGGTGACTCTTCCAGTTGCAATTGTTTTAAATGACAGGGATTCATACATCGCCAGAGAATATTTAGTGACAGTCACATTTACTACTTTATAAATCGATCCCCGTCAGCTACTACTACAAGGTCATCTCCAACATCAAGGGAGAAGCCTATTACGGGTGAAAGAACAAGACAGCAAATGGATTTACAGGCAGAAGGGATTGACAGCGTAGAGGTTACACACTCCACACGGCTCATCCTGCTTACAATAGTGAGGCCTTTAACTCAGGAAGCTTTACTTGAAAACACAATGCTCATAGGCCCTTGTATGTCACCAGAAAAAAACTATTTTAAATAGTGCAGATTGTATTTCTCTGCTTAATGCACTGGCCAAGGTATGCACACTGTAGATTACAATGATATAACATTTGAACATGTTTATCTAACAGTGAGTTACTGAACATGAAACACTTATGTGTGTGTTATTGGGTTTAGAACACACAGCATAAACGCACAATGATAAAATGATCAGCTAGGAAAGGACGTGCTTCAATAAGCACCTTTTGTTAATATCACAGATACTCATACCACTTAAAAAGATACAATCATTATCAGCATGCATTAAAAAGAGACCTGAATGCAGGACACAAAGCTATAAAAAGGTGGATGCAACACATTGCAAGCTTATAGAGAAGACATTTTCAAATTGAAATTTCCTCAAATGAACATAAGAGTTAAAAAGGCAAAATGACTGCAAGCAAGCACAGAATGCAACCCTGTAGGAAAGATAACATGCAATGGAGAACATCTCATTGGACAATAGTTGTTCCAGTTGGGCAGAACCTCAGAATGGTTTTACAAATGCTAAACATCATGCAAGGTGTTTGGGCAGACTACTAGAAACAATATGTCAACTATGTGTGCACTGCATCTGTACATAGGACATCTCAGTGCATGGGTAAAATTAGTATGTATTCATCAATCTGAGGTTTTTAGTAGCATGCACAAATAGCTCTGTGCTCAATTTTGAATCAAACACATTTTGAAGCAGTTTAAGATCTATACTACAGTAATATCTGATATCACTATACAGATTGTGCACTGGAATCCAAATGTAAATCTCTGTTTCAGAACCCCTCATTGTAGGAACAATACAGACAGGATAGTAAGCAAGGGTAGGATGGCATTGCACTGCACTAGCTTATTTGTCCATGTTGCTGATATAATGCGCCAATAGAAATGCCAGTAGGTTTATATGGATGAAATGAGAGCAAGATTCCATCCACGATGATCTTGTTTGAGCGGAGGTGGGGGTGTAAGAAGAATTGTTCTACGCAGCTACACAGAAGGGACAGAAAAAGCGATGCACTTTTGCATGATCGTGTTTGTGTGGAGGTGGGGGTGTAAGAAGAATTGTTCTATGTAGCTACACAGAAGGGACTGAAACAGCGATGCACTTTTGGAATACAACTGGTAGACCTCTTAGCATTGTAGCTAAAAACCTACCATACACTTTCAGTGGCTTAAAACCAACCCATCATTTATTTCCCCTCAAAAATGATAAAATTTAAATTTCTATGAGGTTTATCCATTGCAAGTGATCTATGGCAATTACAGGGTTCACATGGAGAGGGACGTGCCACATGTAATACATGAAGGGGACAGAAGAGGCTGATTGATACCTGGAGTGGTCTGGCTTTTTCCTGTCATGTGAAAAAATGGGGCAGGATTAAAACCATACTGGAAAGGAGGAAAAGGAATGAAAAATGCAAAATAAGAAGAGCAGCAGCATGACATGAAATTGGAAATCTAGAATGCGGTTTAAGCACTACAAATACATCAAATAAAAATAAATAAATGCAGCATTGTAGAACTGTGCTGATCATTGTGCTGATCATTGCTCTCATCCAAGTTCTCTCAATTATATAATTGTAACCATATTCACTCTGGAGAGTTTGTGACGAACAAGAACGACAGAACATTTAGCCATATCGGCCCAAAATATGGCCACAATTACCTGTTCCAGGTTTTGAAAGCGTTGCTAGCTCGTTTAAAGAGGTATCCTTCCATAACAATACCATTCTCTGCATCTGCATTACACTCGTAACTGGAGTCATCAGCAGATAAGCCCTAAAATGAAAGATAAAAACTAGAAAAGTAAGAAAGCAGTCACGTGGCCATCTAGGAAATCCCAAACAAAAGAAACTGTAGTAATCATCAATCATTCAGAAAATGGAAAATCGAAGACCACTTTGTGGATTCAGGCAGTTACAGCCCCCAACACTGCTCCTTTGCCAGGGATATAGGTTGTCTCTTGACTACAGCACAACCAGCCTGGCAGAAATAGCAGTTCAATGACAGAATGACACCTGCATAGATGTCAGTGTTATTAGGTCCGATACTACAACAAGCTTCATCAGGTATCCATCTCATCATGTTCTAATACTAGACTGAATAATATCCTTGTGGCATCTACTCCGGTAGATAGATTTTCTTTGGTTGCCCTTTGTAGGTTTCTCAATACCATCCGGAAATATTTTTGCTCTTCTTAAAATAACATATACCACAGGAAAAGAAAACGTGAAGATTACAAGGTAACAGTTGGCGGAATCATCAAGGCATTGGAAGGGACACTCTTCATATGTATGGTTGCTCCGAAATGAGAGCTTCTGGTTTCAATGTGACTATACCCTTGCAGGATCCTTTTCTGACCCCAACAGCCACATGCATTGCTCAGTGCATACTAGAAGAGCTCTGAACTCCTAAGCTATAAAAAGACCACCTCCATGTTGGCTTATCCCTGCTGACTAAGGAAAGGACAACTTCCAGGTTTACTTGTTGACTCTGCTGAAGCTCATATTCTGAAAGACTGTCATTGTTCTAAAAACAGACAGTATCGTGTGACCATCTCTTTCTATGTACCACCAGCTCAAGAAACTAGTTTAAGCGTCGCACACCAAAATAAATTCCCAATCATCCTCTGCTATTGCTAAACACCTCTCAATGTCTTTCAGACAGATGCTTATCAAAAATCAGACTGCTGCACAGCAGGTATAGCTATTAACGCTCCAACATATAAGAGTGAAGCCTCATTATTACATTTGACAAATAACTGGCACATCAAAGCTGGCCTTCATTCAGTCAGAATTCAGAATTCAAGAAATTACATCTGCCACTTCACTTTCTTTTAAAAAAAATAATAACTGTAAAAAGCCAAATGGTAGACCTCTTAGTATTCAAAGCTGTGTATTGTTTTCCTGGTACCAAATAAATAATTCAAAGAATGATCTGTTTCACTGCAGATATGACCTTGATTGGAAATACAAGCCAAGCAGGAGACAATCAACTCAACATACTGATGCTCAGTACCAGTCTTCACACTGTATCTTTTGTGCACACCTACCTTCTGTTGGATTGTTGAGTGTTTAAGCTCCATGGCTCTCTTTTCCTTTGCAGCATCCACAACGAGACAATCCAACTGCAAAAAAAAAGCTGGTCAAAATCTGTTTATTTTGGGTTATTCTGTAATGAGAAAGTTATACTACTATACAGAACACTTGCCAACATGAGTTCATAGGACAGAGGTAAAGTAGTGTCATATAATATGGACGTTATATGCCGTAATTATTATTAGCCTGAGGTTTTTGCTATAAGACAATATGTCTTATTTATTTCATAAGCCCTAACATTTACTAGACAAATTAGGAGTCATAGGTAAACTGGACTTAAAAGTTCTCATAGGGAAATCAGCAATAGAAACAAGGTGCCCATACACCTATCGATTTTAGTTTGGAAATCCTCCATGAATGGTCTATTTACTTTTACTGTACTCTTGGCCGAATTTCCTCCACCGGTCAGTTGGAAAACTTTTTTGAATCGAACGAAAATCAAAAAAGATTACTGGCGTTTTATTTTCGAAAACAATTGCAACAAGAACACTGCACATGCATGGCTCATGGCTCTAAGAAAAAGACATGCAGAAAAAAATTCCTTGATGGGGACATAGACAGTGAAAACCCTGACAGATGGTATAACCCTCCCTCATTCCATCCAAAAAAAGAAAAGTTTAGCCTGCAATAAGCTGAGAGGAATACATGATGCTTCGGATTCCTTATATATGAAGCTTCATAGGTTTCTTCCAGAAGCAAAAGTGTATGCTAGAGATCTGCATCTGAGACCAAACTTGGAAACCCCTGCCAGACAGCTAGTACCATTTTAATGGCTCAAAGGACTGCTATAGTCACTTTTGCAGAGGACTGTGCTTCCGCCATTATGACAAGGTGTTGACCCCCCCCCCCTCCAGCAAGGTGTATAGCTTTCTGCTAAATACTCTGCTGATGAACATTATCAATTACTTCCAGAGCTAAGGGATGAAGGACTAGCTAAAAACCCTCATCAAAAGTACTTATACTCTTCCTCCCCAACAAACAAATTAATCAACAAGGGAAAAAAAACCCAGAAGGATGAAAGAAAACAATACCAGCTTATATAACAATCACAAAAAGTGTCATACAACACCTTGGGGAGTATATTTATAAAACCATGTCATAGCTATTTGTCCAATGAAACTGCAGGTACATTCGTTTGTTTGAATTAGCCAGCTGTTGTAAGAATGGGGCCAAATCGAATGTTCTTAGGGTATTTTCTCTTCTGGTCGTATGTTGTTAAAAATATAAATAGCATGCATCAGCTGGCACTTTCTCCCACTATATGATCAGTATGTATTTTTTGCACTGATTGAACCCTTATAACAACACTTTTGATGGTATATTTAAACAGACTAAAAGAGAGCAAATAAGAGAAGTTCATTATTAAGGTTTCCATACACTTTAATTCATCTCAGTTTTACTGTACAGCTCGGCAAACACAAACATGCAGTATTACAATACTGGCCCTGATAAACGAAGATTGACGGTTGAGTACGGATGCAAATCATTGCATGCATCACTGTATTTTGGTGCACACCATCTCCAATAAACTAATTTGCTGCAATGCATGTAGTTGATCATAATAACTACATTCTTTCATCGTGATTGCTCGCAAAAGACTGACTTATTCATTTTAGGAAACATTACTGTATTCAGCTGGAGCCGATTATGTGACTTTTCTGTGAAAACTTGCAGTTCGTTTTTTTTTGTTTGTTACATTGAGCAGAATAGTTGCATCAAACAACTGTGTCCTTTAGAGGTAAACTATTATTCAGCGTATGGGCAAAAGAAGCCTTTTGTGCCCCTAATATCAATAGGGACAATTGTTTATCAGGCTTATTGTGCTAAACGTTGTGGTGACATGAAGCTTGGCCACCTCTACCAAAATCCACCTTTTTTGTAGTATGCAGGTGTAAACAGCTGCATCCCCATAACACAGGGGTAGGCAACCATAGCACTCCTACTGTTGTGGAACTACATGTACCATGAGGCATTGCAAGAGTAACAGCCATAGGTATGACTCCCAGAGGCAGAGGAATGATGCTATTGGTAGTTTCACTGGCATGCAGAGGTTGCCTACCCTTGCTACAACATTTACCTAGGGAATAAAAAGATGAACTCCCATGTCGGCCAACAAGAGCTAGAAACAACGGTTTATAGATGTGCCAAATAATTACCTGTGCACCTAAATCCTTCATGTACGGCTCAAGTTCACTGAAAAGGTCATAACCTTGGTGGAAGAAGGCCAGATGGGCATACATAAAGGACAGCATCTGTTAACAAGCAAATAGAAATAAAACAAACTATTAGGCAAGAAATTCCTTGCACAAAGGATTACAAACATGCAGCAATTGCAGCAGACCATGCACACGTTACATCACCCGGCAGGTAACATTACAGGTCTCTTTAGACATAAAAACTGGGGGAATACAGTCAGAATCCATGCATTCAGCGACTCAGCAAGACTGGTACAAACCCATTCTCCAGGTCTAATAAAGACATATGACATTTCCCTGTGGTCAGCTCTCTTCCAGAAAAAGCCTATGTTTTATTAGCTGTAAACATGTTGTAGAGCTGTGTACTGCAAGCAGGGGGGAACTAAGGCAGCTTGTCAGAGTTCTGCAGCAGCAGCTGATCCAGGAGAGCTACAGATACACAGCGGCTCAGAACTGTGCTGCAGACAAGAAGAATGTCCAGAGATCAATACGCTGCTCCAAATACAGAAAAAGTGCACGCTGCATGTGAGGATACTGCAGAATCATTCCATCTGCCTAGAGAATTAATGATTGTTACTGATACAGGACGAGGTAAGTCACTGGACCCCTAACATTTTACATTTAAATGCTCTTTTTTCCTTTCCCTTAAAACTTTTCTTTAACAAAATAAAAAATACGGATATGACTGTTTATGTTCTGGGGGGGATTCACAGACTCTCGAGAACTTTTCCATTCCATTAGCCTGTAAGCCGACTCGGACTTGTATTTGGAATTACAAGCGTTGTGATTATCATACGGTACATTCTGCACACACTAACTGGGATATGTTGGTTGGGCGCTGGGACCGGACAATAAATGGAGCAGTAATTATCGGCAATTAGCATTACTCAGGTTACTTTGCAAATAATTAAAGAAAATAAAAATCTCAGGGGAGGATTCACAGGCTTTTAGGTACTTAAATGGGGGAAGAAGTGCATCAAAATTTCAGCGTACAAGAGAAATGGTTGGTTAACATCAAAGCTCTGCTATCAACTAGCACGGTTCAAAGAGACCGCATGCTGATAAGGACTAAGTACTGTTTGAACTGAATTTGGTATACAGAGATGACTCTAAATGATGGGTTAAATGGCCATATAACTTAACGGTTATTTAATAAGATAGTAATTACCGCAAAAAAAAGGTGCAAAGTGCAGGAAACAATAGCAAGCAGTTATCATACTACTATAGTGAGAAGAGTGAGAATGTATTTCTGATTATAATTACTGCATTACACAAACGGCTGTTGGCACTGTCCTATATAACCATGTTTAACAGTTTCTGTCAAAACATGTATATTTATTTCTGCATTAAAAGTGCCTTCCAGAACAGTTTAAAGCTGAACTCTAGACACAAAAACGGTCCTTTAAATATATTTCCCTATAACCACAGAGGATATAAATCCACTTTGTGTTCATCAAATGTACTTACAAACCCAGATATTACTTTAGAAACGTGCTAGTGATATCATCACCGTGCTGTATATAGCCTATGTAAAAAGCAGAGCTGTGGAAGGGGCGCAGAGGCTCCACCCACTACATGCTGCCTTCAGAACACTACAGGCGGGGGCGGATACAAGACCAGTCACCCTGCACAAGGAGAGAAATCTGCAGTGACCAGTCTTTATTACAGGAAGTTCCTGAACAGAGCAAAGTTTTGCACTGAATTACGGCACAGATCTGCTATGGGCCTGTTTATTTGGCAATAAGTTTGTCATTACTTAAGATAAAGTAATACATATATTGTTTCTTTCAGGACAAGCGAGGCTTTTCATGGTGATATTGTCTTGCAAAAGTGGTCCTATTTTTATGTTCACACACTACAATTGTTTTTTTTGTTACTGTACATTAAAAGTATACATTGTATGGTATAATTTGTCCTGTTTAAAATTACGCTAAATATTTGGTTCTGGTACAATGTAAAGAAAGGCTTATTTTTCCAGTTTCGTGCCTGTTTTACTGTAACACCAAGTTAACAAAACAAATACAAAATGTGTGTCCTGCAGGTAGGAGCAGACGTCTCTCAAATAAACAATTATGGAAGATGAATGTTAGAAAAATAGAAATAAAAAAAAATAAATAAAAAAAAGACAGCAGGAAAATAAGGCCCCGTTCACACCAGGGCGTCGCAGGAGCGCACGTTCCCAGACGTTTGCGGGACTTTGTTTTCCACGTTTGGCGTGCGTCCCCATTGAGTCCCAGGTTGCACGCCCCATGTGCTCCAAGATGGAGACTCTCATAGTTTAGAGTTAGGACCGCACTATATGGAGGTGCCTTGACATGGCTATGCGGCTTTCATATTTTCTGCAGAAGACGTGTATCCAAACCTCTGCTTTTAACCTTAGTGGTTAGACAGGTTTTTTTTGCATGCTGGCTGGTGAGTGCGTTTGTCATTTGTTTTGCCAGGTTGCACGCCAAACGCAGAAAAGTACATGTTGCAAATTTGGTGACATTTATTCCGTGAACACGTGGGAGAAAATCATGTTTGCCCGGCTTACTTTGTGGTGCCATTACACAGTAATGGCAACAAAAGTGCGCTCTGCCTTTCTGCACGCGCGTCAAAGTGCGCACATTTGTGCTCGTTTGACGCACGTTCATGATACACCCTGGTGTGGAAGACGCCTAATAATTAAAGGGGCGTAGGGGAAGAATAAGTTAAATAAGGTCTGATTGGGGTGAACCAAGAGTAAATAAGGGGTTAAATGGGAACATGTTTAATTATTTTAGGTTAGTTATTTTAATTTGCCAGATTGCTTTAACTGACATGATTAGATTGAAGCTCATACCTTTAGGCTGCAGAAAAGGCAAACTGAATGGACAGATATCAAAGCAAAACTGTTACATCGTATCTCTATCTCTCATGCCTGAGAAATTATTATTATACAGGATTTATATAGCGCCAACAGTTTGCGCAGCGCTTTACAATATAAGGAAGACATTACAGTCACAATACAATTCAAGACAAGATGGTAAGGAGGGCCCTGCCCCTGAGGGCTTACAATGTTTATGGACACTGCATCAAACAGTCTGTTTTTGACAGCAGCGGCGATTACAGTTGCTGTATTTACACAAAGCAACACGTGACTGCCATTTTCATCGCTGGCAAATGGGAGGAGAGCTTGGGTGTGTCCAAAACTGGTTAACAACTAGCCATCAGCAAATAACAGACAGATTTGATAACAAGTAGTGGTGTTGGTACAGTTTTGAAACATTGCTAGGAATTAAAACGTGTTAAATCTAATATTAAAAAAAAAGAGAGAAAAAGAATCAATTCCCATCAGTCACTGAGAAGAAGCTCACAATTTAATCATCCTACCACACACACTACAGGTAATTTGAAAAGCCAAATAGTCTACTAGTATATTTAAGGCCTCTTGATAGGAAATCAAAACACCTGGATGAAAGCCATATTGAGATGGGGAGAATATGCAAAGCCCACGCAGAAGTGTTCCCAGTGGATCTCAATCCAAATCTGCTACCCACCATGTTGCACAGGTTTTCAGAGATGTTGGAGAGCTGAACCATCCAGTGATTTATCCGTTGGGGATTGTATCAGTGAGATCCCAGAGATTGAGCTCACAGGCATACACAACTGAAGTCTCCCAGCTTGCATGTCCATAAATGTATTTTTTTAAGCTGGAGAATGCATCAAGAGTTGCGGAAGGCCCCGAAGCAGACTGAAGTACCCAAAACACCAAGATAAATGGATGATGATGATACTAATTAGGGATGTCCCGATACCGATGCCAGTATCGGTATCGGCAACCGTTACTGGGCATTTTTACGAGTACTTGTACTCATGAAAATGCCCCGATACAAAAGGTCGATACCAGCCCTTTCAATTTTTAAAACAGGTTTAGCTGCCTACGGCCCCGTGCTTACTGGGGGACTTCAGGCAGCCTGTTGGGGACCTAAGTGTACCGGTCCAGCCCCACATCTTCTCCTCCTCCTTCCTGGTGCCCGCAGAGACAAGCACAGCATTAGACTGCCACACACCGCACCCTACAGCCCTGGAGCCCAGTACAAGCCCGTTCAGCTCTGGAAAAATTTCACATGTCCCTTTAAGATAAAGTATCAGTAATTGGTATCGACAAGCACCTGAGGGAAAGTATTTGTGCTTAGTCTTGAAAAAAAAATGGTATCAGGACATTCCTAATAATAATATTAATAATCATCAACAGGACTATGAACTATGGCAAGAAGGTTTTATAAAAGAAATCAAAAAGCCATTTAATGATTAAGGTTCATTACTAGAAATGTAGAACAAGAGTGATTCAAGAGTACCATAGAGATAACAATGTAAGGATAGGGTAGAAGGGACCTGATTAACATGCAGTACAAAATGGCTTTTTTCCCCGCACAGCAAAGAAAACAGTCATTTGATGAATTTTCACGCAGTCTATTTACTTGGTAATTAGCCCTATATTTTAAAATGGAACTGAAACCACCATATGGGCACTTATTGTCAATTATTGACTTAAAAAAAACATACAGAATATCATAAAGCTGTTATCTATGTCAGGCTGATGCATATAATACTTACAGATTTTAAAATCTCAGACCTCCTTTTAGACTGAAGTACATTGATCTATAGAAGAGGGGGGAAAAAAAAAAAAAAATCAGGTCCATTATGCTGACCACTCCATTTATAGCATGCAAACCACTGTTCATCATCTATAATATATGAGCTTTCACCAATAAGACAAGCATCCACAGTTGCCAGTGCAAAGGCCCTGTCTAATTAGAACTCTGTGGAGGTCAAGCTAATGGTAAAACTGGAATTTGCATTGGCAATTAAACAGCAACTACATAACGTTAATATAGTTTAAAAAAATAACCCCACGTGGGGTTTATATATAAATTTTATGAGGGATGCACCGATGCCAATACTAGTATCGGTGCAGATATCTAGTATTCGGGCGAGTACTCACACTCGTCCATATGCTATGATACGTACCCCCGATACGGGAACTTCCAATCAGAGGGATATTTCCTCTGAACGGCAGTGCCGCATGGGAACATAGAGCCAGTTCCCCAGCCAATCAGCATGGTCCCAGCTTCCTTGCCAATCAGGAAGCCGGGTGGCAGGTAACTACCTGGCTCCCAACTTCCTAATTGACAGTGAAGGCGCCTCCATGCTGAATGGCCGGGAAGCTGGCTTCCCAGCCAATTAACATCGAACCAGTTCCCGGGCAATCACGAAGCCGAGCGGCAGGTAGTGACACGCCGCCCAGCTTACTGATTGCCCAGGAAGTCGGCTCCATGCTAGCAGAAGTACCAGTATCGGTACTCGCTATAGGCGAGTATCGAAAGATAAATATCGGTATTCTATATTGAAAAAATTGTATCGGTGCATCCCTTAGATATTGTCCCGGGTATCCACCACACTCTAAAGGTGAGCGCAGGTGCTCATTCACAAAAATATTCATACAAATCAAATTTGCAGGTTTTAATTTCAAATTTGCAAGAGCGTGAAAAATCCTTTGGCCTGAGCAGGGTATATTTCACTAGATTTTTCCCAATTAGGCTGTGTCATGGTGTAATGTGAAGCATACACACTGTAGAACATTTTCATTCATCAATTCTACTTGTATCTGTATATATGCAGTGTGTGTGTAATATCATATTACATTACATATTATAATATTGGCTGTAGCAGGAGGCAGTTTATTCACGGAAGGGCTGGAGAGCGGTACAATAATGAGTGTCTGCAGCAACAGTGAAGCAAGGTGGAGGTTCATTGCAAGTCTGGGGCTGCATTTCTGCCAATGGAGTTGGAGATTTGGTCAGGATTAAAATGGTGTCCTCAATCCTGAGAAATACAAGCAGATACTTATCCATCATGCCATACTATCAGGGAGGCGTGTAATGGGCCTCAACTTTATTCTGCAGCAAGACAACGACCCCAAACATACAGCCAATGTCATTAAGAACTATCTTCAGCATAAAGAAGAACAAGGAGTCCCGGAAGTGATGGTTTTGCCCCCACAGAGCCCTGACCTCAGCATCAAGTCTCTCTGGAATTACATGAAGAGACAGAAGGATTTGAGGCAGCCTATATCCACAGAAGATCTGTGGTTAGTTCTCCAAGATGTTTGGAACAACCTACCTGCCGAGTTCCTTCAAAAACTGCGTGCAAGTGTACCTAGAAGAATTGATGCAGTTTTGAAGGCAAAGGGTGGTCACATCAAATATCGATTCGATTTGGATTTCTCTTCTGTTCATTTACTTTCCATTTTGTTTATTGATAAAACAAACTATTAACACTTACTTCTGAAAGCATTCTTACTTCACAGCATTTTTTTTTGACACCTGCCTAAAACGTTTGCACGGTACTGTATATATAGACGCACACAAATGCAAAGCAGGTATAGAAGCACTCATGAGTCTTAAAGCCGAGATAAGTTAGAGCATCAGCGTTTTATTGTCAATGTTGATGGAGCTGAGTCTGTCAGTGTCTTCATAGAGATAGACTGAGCTCTGTCGAGATATTTACAATAATTTGACAAGAGAAGGCTGCGCTTGAGCCTGCCTTGCCAGCAGATCACGGTAATTGGCCATGCTGCATTCAAAGAAACACAGCACAATGCAAAGCTGGTCAAAAGTAGCCTCTGAACTGCCATATGTATTGCTTAATTAAAGTCAAGGGGATTTTTCTGACTTGTGTTTGAAGCGTGTTCCAAAGGCACTTGAAATGCAGCAAAATAACGCCCGTGGACATAAGCCCTAATTCTCACAATAATATAGCTTAGGAACATAATCTGAAGTTGCCCATAGGCATTAGATGGTGGTCAGAATATACAACTGCCACACAATCATTCTACACTAAACTACTGTCACATAAACATGAATACTTGTTTGGGCGATGAGCAGACACCCAAACCCAGGCAATATTTAAGGGGAAAAAGCTAATTTAATTATTTCCAAGAACAGTCAGGAAGTGCATGCAAAGGGTGTATATGGCCGACAGACATACAAGAACTTCCTGATCAAACTATGAACAGTAAGATTGGGCAATGATCATCACATTTTTACAGACATCTTAAGAACTCAATATGCGAATAACATCCCTGGGTGTGGGTTGCAATGTCTGTAAAGTGCAAGTGTATGCACATATAAAAAAGGCACAGCATTCAATCAACATGTATTTGTTAAAAATACTTCAATGCACAGTAAAATATTACATTTTTTTTCGTGCTAGCCTCCTCTAATCCACTGTGACTTTAATCCGTTTGCTGATTGGACAAGAGAGCAGAAATAACATCAGCAGCTAGTTTTCTGCCAAGCTTTATAGCTTTAAAAGGTAAAGTTTACTTTTCACAGCATGTTTCAGGTTACACCCATATATAGGGTGTAATGTGGAACATGATCACATTACACCGCACCCCACGAGCAGCCAACCCCCCACTTACCTGAATTGTGGGGTTCTTCTACCCACAGCATTCAGGCACATTTTAAACTGGCACAAAGGATCTCTAAATAGATAATGTAGCTGTGTGGTCAGAGCCACATCATCTATTCGGAAGTCCTTTGACAGGATCCACAGTGGCAGAGGGACTTCTAATTCTCAAATGGAGTACAAGTGCAGTAATGCCACCACACTTGTAGTCCATTCATACTTCCTCCCATCCTGTAAATGAAAGTCTATACCTTGGTACTGACAGGGACTGGCTGGAATAGTCTGCAGGGGCCTAAGCATTGCACCTGCAATCTCCTGATCGCGGTTGCAATGCTCTACTGGCTCCAATGCAAAGAAAAATACACATTTTTTCTTTCCTAAATGTGTATGAATTTATTATTATTTAAAAGGTAGACTGTGCCTTTAAAACAGAGGTCTGGGTCAAAATGTTATTAACCCTTGCAGTGGGGCTACCCCCCTCACTGCAAAGGTTAAGTGCTTGTTTTTGCCTATGGTCAAATATAAAAATAAGTTTTACTCACCCGATCCTCCGAGCCAACTTGCTGTTAGACTGGTCCCTGAACCCTCTTTCCCCCTCCTTTGCAGTGGCCTAAGGTCCCTGAATCATCACGTTCTATACACAGTGTATAGGACGTGAGGCTCGGAGGATCAGGTGAGTATATCTGTTATTTATGACCCTAGGCAAAAACGAGCACTTAACCCTTGCAGCGCCCCAATGCATGGATTACAAACCTTTTTTTTGATATACTAGAGTTGTTCTTTAAGTGTAATTGAGAAAATTAAATGGTCAGGACCCTTGCATAATGTCTGCTAGGAGGATTCTGGATTAAAAAAACTGGCTGAATAAAATAAAACATTTGCTTGGTAGGTAAGACAGTTCACAAAGATGTCTTTAACAGACTGGCTATTTGCCTACACTTACACATAATGGGATCAAGGCCTCAGCATGGCAAATATTAAGATGTACAGAGAACCACACACTTCTGAATTTCTATATAAAATCTACAGATGGATAACAATGCTTCCCTGCACTAGACACAATTATTCGATTGTAGAAGTACTTAGCCTTAATCATCACGGCTATTTGCAAAGAGGACTAACATGAATAGGTTAGTATTCACTCTAAAACGCTTCTTAAAAGTATTACTCTGGAATTTCTGCACAGTATAAACTACTCAAGAAGTGTTGTGAAAATTCCAAATATTGTGAAACAGGTATAAGAAAGAAAAGATCAGGACGTACCAAGTGTTTCAGTTACCTGTAAAACGTAGTCTAGTCCAATGTGCCTATAGCATTTCCGTGTGGCAGTCAGGATGTTAGTAGCTTCCTCTACCTCATGTTGTTTGGTTCGCGTAACCTGAGCATTTTTTGCCAAGGCATTTTCTTTTTCTTCACTGACTTTATCAAATTGTTTCTTAGCATCTTTAAATTTTCTAAGGTCTCTGCCACAGCAAAAAAAATAGCTTAGTTATTATCTATATATACCAGAAGCAGAACTGTATGGTTATCAATATAAGAAGTAAGGCTTAGAGCCATCATATGTGCAGCTATCAAATATAAAATGATAAACTGACTATATTGCATATAAAAAGTTGTAAAAAATTACAGCGAATATAAATATATAGTGCACCCGGTAAACCTCTCCTTTCTAGTTTTGCCAAAATGAATAACAAAGCAAAGCCATGTTTAATAGAACAATACATATGGTGAGTAACCTGCTTCCATGCAACGCTTGCATGATGTTTTTGCAGCTCATTGAACAGTGCTCAAACAGCACATTTTTTGTCTCCTAATTATATGAGACCTAGGTTATAGCAGAGAGCTGCTATCGCTGGCCACAGAAGCGTTTACGTCACACTGCGTCTGCATTTTCCAAGCTATTCATAAATCTAGAGTGTACCGTGGCACCTGGGGTGTCCTACTGACTTCTCTCTGCATACCGGTGATTAGAGGAAGGGCTGGTAACATGACCTTGACAGCTCAACTGCACTCTCCTCCTCACAGCTTTTTCTCTTTTCTTAAACATAACTGAAGCTGCCCTTGTGTCTCAGTCCCAAAGCAAGTGGAGCGTAATGCACATTTGTAAAGAACATAACTGTGCTTTACAAATGTGCCGGTATTTTTAGATTATTATTTTTTTTAAGCAGCAATATAGCCATACCACTGCTTTAGAAGTGTGGCCCTATAATGTGGCAGTAATCCAGAAGTAGATGCAGCACAATGCGAGTAATGATCATGCCAAGTGCTGGTGTGCTGTGCACCCAATAAAATTAACTGGGTAAAATAAATGCTTGACTTCATATTTATTACAAAAGAGCTAACCAATGTCAACTTACTCCTTCACAAATGTCTGGAGCTGTGATTTGATTGATCTTTGGGCTTGGTCAAACAGGATCTGAAATAATATCGTGTTAACACAATAAGGAAATGGTTCTTAAAGCAGTTTCACACTACAATTATGATGATTACATACGGTAATAATAAACAGAAAATAACTAATTGTCAAGACCTATGTATGCCCTAATATACAGAACTGAATTTCTCGCATACCAAATTATTTTTTTCCTAGACCTGCGTATTTGATTTCTTATCTGGAAATTGAGAAGTGCAGACTTTCACTTTTTTGTTTTCCTTAAGGAAAATCACACACACTCACGTGTCTCATATATATGGAGAAAACATCTAGTCAGTAACATCATAATAGCAGTCAAATTTTATCAGTTTCCGTATTGTGAATTCCACTGAGGATTTCCTTTTCCTCACATATTATCAAGCCAATGTCTGAATTAGCCAGCAAACAATACTCCTGTTAATCATTGCAATGGCCTCAAAATACATTTGCCGGTGTAGGTTAGCGCCCATTAAAGGCCAACAGAAAACTTTTTCATAAGAAGGGTTAGAACATCTGTCAGGTGACATTAGAAAATGTGGGGGGAAGAAACTTCAGGCATAGAAACATTTATAATTTGTAATAAAGGAAATACACCAACCAGACAAAACATTATGACCACCCGCCTTATATTGAGTAGGTCCCCAACACAGCCCTGACCCATCGAGGCATGGAGTCCCACTAGACCTCTAATGGTATGCTGCGGTATCTGGCACCAAGCTGTCCGTAGCAGATCCTTCAAGTCCTGCAAGTTGTGGCCTCCATGGATCGGAGTTGTTTTTCCAGCATGTTCCACAGATGCTCGTTTAGATTGAGATCTGGAGAATTTGGAGGCCAAGTCAACACCTTGAACTCATTGTTGTGTTCCTCCATCCATTCTTGAACCATTTTTGCAGTGTTGCAGGGTGCATTATCCTGCTGAAAGAGGCCACTGCCATCAGGGTATATCGTTTCCATGGAGGGGTCTACTTGGTCAACAACAATGTTTAGGTAGGTGGTATGTGTCAACGCAACATCCACATGAATGGCAGGACCCGCAATTTCATATCAGACATTGCACAAAGCATCACACTGTCTCTGACAGCTTGCCTTCTTCCCATAGTGCATCCTGGTGCTATCTCTTCCCCAGGTAAGCGACACACAGTCACCTGAGTCATCAGACTAGCGAACCTTCTTCCAGTGCTCTGTGGTCCAGTTCTGATGCTCCCGTGCCCATTGTAGCCTTGGCCACCCATGACCATGTTGCCAGTTCACAGGTTTTCCTTCCTTGGACCACTCCTAAGAGATCATGACCACTGCAGACCGTGAATATCCCAGAAGAGCTGCAGTTTTGGAGTTGCTCTAACCCAATCATCTAGCCGTCACAACTTGGCCCAGTCTTGTCAAAGTCACTTTAATCTTTACGCTTGCCCATTTTTTCTGCTTCCAACCTATCAACTTTCTGCCTAATTCTCCCTCCAACTTCCAGATGCCATTGTAATGAGATAACCAATGTTGTTCACTTCACCTCTCAGTGGTCATAATGTTATGGCTGATCGGTGTAAATCCCTTTTGTGTGTACAAGCACAGATATTACTTTGATAGTATAGTGGTAACATCATGCATGTGCTATAATAGCCAGTGCAGAGAGCAGAGTTGTGGGAGGGACCCAAGAATCCCACCAACTACAGGCTGCCTGCCAGAAAACTATAGAAGGGGCAAATACAAGACTAGTCACCCTGCACAAGAAGAGAGAGCAGCAGTGATCAGTCTTTATTAGAGGAAGCCCCTGCACAGAGGCAAAGATGCCTTTTGTATTTAGACACCATTTGCTTATCCCAGAATTCAGCTTTAAGATGTTAAACTTAATGGTATGTCAGCTGAAACCACTGGTTTCCAATATGGAATGCTTAACAACGTGCACCTCATCCCAGCACCTCCAAAGGCAGGTGTCTCTTTGTCCCACTTAACAAAATCCCTTCTTTTTGGTCTTATGTATATTTAGCCTTTTAAGATCTCAGCCTCATTGAAGAAATCAAGCCTTGGCACATATTCATGTGCGTTAATCCGCTCCTGATCCTATAAAGATGAGCACATGCTGTAATCCTAGAGGAGACAAATGCCAGCTGCCAGTTTGCGCAGATGAAAAAATGGGCACAGCGGAAGTAAGGTTCTGAAGATATATCTTGTATTTCCTACAGAAACTAACCAGAAAAGGCATGCAGTGTACAAACTTTCCTTACAATAACAAGCTCTCTGCATCCCAGAACAAGCGTCTCTCCCAATCTGCAGGTAATCATACCATGTCTGATCATATGCAGACAGAATTGAACAGATATGGCCACTGTCACCCTGTCATTAACTTGAATGGGCACACTAGATAACACCTGGGATTCTTGCCACAGGAATCCCCACACACCCATGTTTATGAGGCCTAAAACTGACATTTAGTGTCTCAGGGTAGTTATGAAAATCCCAAAAAATTGAAATCAACTTCAGTTAAAAAAAAAACAACACTCGGATTTATAGATGTACAAGACACTACACTTTCATGTATGTACTTACATTATGGAACTTGATCATTTCTTCAAGGCTTTCAGAAAACTTTGATAGGCTATTCTGTAGATAAAAAAAATAACAAGTAGAATTATAAGGCTGCAGATTTATTCAGTAAAGAAGATAATTTCCTAACTGGCATTGGAGTGTAGTATTCTATAGCAGGAAATCACTTCTTGTAGTGCAAGTCTAGTAAACTGATATGATTAGTTGTTACATTCTGCACATCATAACTTTGTGACTTTACAATGCTCCCTTGAAACCCTAGTCTGCCACTGCAGCACCCAAAAATTCCTGTGCAGGTTGTGACAAAACTCAAAATTTGCATTCCTCCCCTGCTCCCCCAGAAAAGTGCCTGGACCTGGCAATTAGGTCATTCCGGCACCGAGCACTGCACTGGGGTGGGAAGCGGGTAAGTGTCATATGTTCCCCCTCCTAGAAGTAGTGGCACATTGATGAGCTCCACAAGCAGATCAGGGCAGCAGGGAGGATTCTACAAGTTATATGTGTTGCCAGAGACCAAACAAACCTAAAACTTTGGCTGGACATGTTTTGATGCTGCACTTTAGGTATACAAAAAAAGAACCCTATTTTTTTCTCAATTATAGTTATTAAAATAAATAAGTGTTTTAAATACTGCTGCTATAAGTACCTGACGCTAGCTTCATATTAGCATCCTATTCCTAAGCCTCGGTCTGGAAAAAAGAGGGTAGCAGTGTGAGCCTATCAGACCCTACTACACTGCACTGTGCTGTCAGTCTAACACACGGAGCAAGCTTAGGGCAGATCAACAACCTCACTGTACCACTACTGCATGAAGAAAGGCAAGGTCAATGATCTGATAATGTTGTCAGGTAGGGGTGCCCAGGTAAAGTAATGTAGCATGTAAGAGTATGAGTTTACATATATGTACCTCAACTGTAAATGTAGTTGCTTGCCTACAATTTGTTCTTAAAGTGTATGTAAAACCAAAACATTTTAGTTTTTAGTTTTAGGGTTAGGACATCTGTCAGTTTATTTTGTTGACCTCTAGATCTCATAGGATCTCATAGAGCTGACCTCCCTTTTTGTCCTGGTTACCATTACCAGGACAGGAACCGAGGGAAAGCCTACCAATGAGGACCCCGATCCAAAGACAACCAAGACGGGGTTTTCACTTTTCTAAAGCTGCTTATACACTTCCCAATATTCAACTGTGTGTGGCCCTGCCAACACCACCCAGATTATCAAAAGTCGATTATGCAATCAACTTCTGACAAAAGGAGTCGGGTGGAAAAATTGCATTTGATTGACTGCATTCACTGTTTGGCCTGCTCCGGCACTCTGACAGTGGCGGGTGCCTGTTGTCAGAATATAATGGCCCAGCAGGGGAGATTCCTTTGGTAATGCTGTTTAGCTGATTTCTTTCAGTCAGTCCACAGTTCAGCTTTATTAAAGAAACAAAAAGGGTTGGGGTGGTGCAAAAAAAGAAAAAATATTTTGAAGTACATGGTGTTTCGTTTGTATGAGAAGGGATTGATGCGGACTTGACAGTAAATTGTTCCTGTGTTTTGGCGTAGCTTTATTTCTCTGACTTTCCTGTTATTTCTCTGGGATGAGACATGAAGGGAAATCTCCCAGACAGAAAAAAAAGAAATCAGGCCAGTGTTTAAGCTATTCCCTACTTTCAAATCAGATAACTAGCTGCCTATCAAGCCAAGCAGACATATTTGCCTATAAATGACAGATAATCTTTGTACTACTTGGATGAATCTGCTTGAAAGCAATGCCAGCAAAGAAAAAGTAACAAAGAAGATTCTGCAGCAGCTCCCTCAGTGGTCCGTTATCTACAGGCATGGTAGTGCATAGCTTCATCATGTTCTGAGCAGAAGCTGCTTACTTCAATCACTTCGTCCTTGCTAGAATATTGGGCCAGATCCCGGATTCCATTGATAAATTGCTTGTTGGCAGTACAAAAAGCTTTTCCAGCATCGATCATTCCAATGCATTGTTTTACCAGCTGGAAGAAAGAACAGTACAGTGTTTACTAGTTCAGATAACACTCACCACACACAGTCACTGATCAAACCCTAATTATATACCTTGACAACTAACAAGGGTTAGTCATTTCTATAATGGGTATGTGCTATCTACATTTGGTGAAACTCAGTCAAATTTGAGAGAACCCCTCTATATGTAACGCTTTTTTTAATATAAAAGTATTACCTTTTAGATGTTTCTTTGGTAAAGGCCTTTGTGCAGATTCCAGGCTACCCTGAGCAGTGTGAAAGTGAATGTAGAGGGACAGACTGAGCCTTTTTTCATTAACAAATAATGCTCCTTTAACCCTTTGTTAGGACAGACTGTTTTCCGATCTACTTTACAAGTGATAATTAAATCTTCCAGCACAGCACAGACAGGGTTAATTATAGTAAACATACCGTATTTATCACTCCATAAGACGCATTTTTTTCCCCCCCAAAAGGCGGGGGAAAATGTGTGTGCGTCTTATGGAGCGAATCTCTTTTGCCCGACGCCCGGAACATGCAGTTTCGGGCACCGGGCGAATAGTTTTTTGTACATTTAGCCCTGCTAAAGCAGAGCTAAATGTATAGTGGGAGGCGCTGCTCGTTTTACCTCCCCCCGCAGTTGTTTTCGGGGTCCCTTGACCACGGATAGGAGCGCACCATAGAGCCCCTAGAGCAGACGAAGTACGTCCGTTCATCTGCTCTGTGTGATCACTGAGACCGTGGCGCTGTAATCACAGCGCCACCTCTCTCAGCGGTCACTAACCGCAGCTTCTGCCTGCGTCCTATGTTCCAGTGCACCTTATGGAGTGCAAAATACGGTACCCCCCTCCTTAATATCACATAGGAGGGTGGCTAGGTAGGATTTATAGGCTTCGTTCATACATTGCATCCTCCACCGATCTGCGGGGCTTTGCTTTTCAGAAGGCGGTGGAACAGCTGCTGTCTGGTAATTCTGGAGGCGATACTGCAGCCTCCTAAATGCAAGGTTTTTTTTCGTTCCTATTGGGGATTTTCTATTGCAATCCTACGCTAGAAACCACGCAGTTGTGGCATTGCCATATTCATTGCAATGGTCACGTTTGACAAGCGACACTGCCTGTCAAACGCAACATGCTGTATAATTTTTTGCTACACCGCAAAGCATCTCAGCAATGTATACAGCACTGGTGGTTTGGCCACAGTGCTGACATTAAAGCAGGGGACTGGAGGGCAGTAATATCACCTGGTTTTACCGCTCCCCTCGCCTCCCATGTGAGGAGGCCATAAACAAGTAAAAAGCACTTAAAAATATAAGCAGTCATTTTAAAATGTATTTTTGTTAGGTTATGCTATGTGAATTGGACCATATAACACATATAAAAGTAGTGTTATCTCAATTTGGCTGTAAAAGTGGAAATACACTTTTAAGTACAGTGCAATGTAATTTATACAGAACTATTAATCACACAGCAAGTTCTTCAGTAAAATCATTTTCATCATGCAAATGGCTCAGTCTATCACCAATGATTTCACTGGCATGATGAATCACTAGGTGTGAAATATAAATATAAGGAGCCCAACTGAAATGTACTTATTATGGAAAGAAGCAAGAATCACATCCCACCATGGAATTAGGACGGAAGTCAAGCTTCTGCTCCAGTTCAGATACATCCCCTTCAACGTCTTCTAAGCCCGCTCTGTAGGATTGAGATCAAATTCCGTTAAATTTAGAACCAAGGACAACTTGAAAGGTACAGAAATAATGAGCCATCAAATGCACCAGGATTCTTAGGACAGCTTAATATTATCAGTGCCTACTGATTACCATCTGCACCAATAAAACCGAACATGGTTGTGTGTGCAGCATACAGTCTTCATTAAAAGATTGTTCAGTACAGATCTGAAAACTGGAAAATGTTTGTGCATGCATGTGCTTAGTTTACAAAGATCATATCCAAGAAAGATATTAAAGCCAGATTTTTTTTTTTTATTTCTCCTTAAAGGAGACCCTCCTTTGCTGGAGGAGGGGGCTTTTTGTTTTTAAAAGTACCTCAATCCTCGTTTTTTAGTGGGTCCCCGCCATGCTCTTCCCCCCGCCCCTTCCACGGGTGCCACCATTCTAATGGTGGCACCCGTGCGTGCTCGTGCCCGCAGCGGCTGTGTGCGTCCATAGACACACACAGCCCTGTGGCAGGCCACGCCCCTTCCCTCTTTGATTGATGGAATGGATACTGACATCAGTATCTTCCCCCGCAACCCGGAAGTTCGGGGTACGGAAGTGTGGGGGGGACTGGGGGAGAAAAAAGGTACTGGGCTGTTTTTACCCTAATGCAGTGAAATACTAATACTACTTTAATATTGCTGCTCCTAACTTATCTATATCACTAAAGTGACCCAGGGATGGAAAACCTTGGTGATCAGTGAGAGGATCACTAAAGCTGGCCATACAATGTATGAATTTCAATGCCTGGCCCTGTCGGAAACCCTCTCTTCTACAAAAGTTGACCTGGAAAATCCTCGGCCAAACAGTGCAAACAGCTGTAGTCATTGTTTAGGTATTCTGTAGCAGTACACCCGCCAATGTCAGTTCCCTTTCACATTGCATAACTTAACAAAAATATGTAAAAATTGCTGCTTATTAGTTATTTATATTGCTCGATTATAAATCCTGCCTAGCTTCCCTCCTATGTAATGTTAAGAAGGAGGCTGTGGAAGTTATGTTTACACTAATTAACCCTGACTGTACCTTGCTGGCAGATTTCATTCTCAGTTGTAAACTAACACTTTGTTAGGACAGACTGTCTAAAAGACTTCGAACCATTTCATATTAATGAGAGGAAGTAGTCTGTCCCCCAGTTTGTACCTCTTTCACGTTTAAACTGCTCAGAGTAGCCAAGAATCTGCACAAAGACCTTCACCAAAGAAACAGCTAAAAAGGTAAAGATTTTTTTTTTTTTTTTAGATCTGCTGTGTGAATGGAAACCCATAACAAACATAATGTGGGTTTTTTTCAAATTTGAATACACGCACAAACGCGGAACACATGTTGCAAAGTTTGCTACATGAGCTTTTTTGCTGCGTTGTCACACATTCAGGACTAGAGGTGCACCAAAATGAAAATTGTAAAACTGAAAACGTAACCGAAATGAAAACAAGTCAAGTCGAAACTGAAAATGTTTTTGTTTTTTTTTACGTTTTCAAATTTTTAAATATTTTGTTTTTATTCATTTTTATAAACTTTTACATTTTATTTATGGATTTTTATTAAATATTTTTATTTTTTACTTTTAGGAACTTCAGGGAAATTATATTTTCCTTTTAAAATAGAAGAGATTGAGAACACAGAGTCCTCAATCTCTTTTTCTGCATCCCCTGTTATAAATGAACAGGATTCCTCTGTACTGAGTGTTTTTGTTTTTTTTTTCATATTAAAATGTTTATTAAAGATTTTCAAAATATAACAAAAAACACACATACAATACATTAACCATACATTAAGACAATCACATTACATACGATATCCAAGGTAAAAGGGGGGACAAGAGACGTAGGGAACTTCCCATTCATTCATAATTGGGGACACAGTAACCATACTCTGTCCTCAATTATTTACAAACACTCAGCGATCACTGATCGCCGAGTGCTTGTACCAGCTCTCCTTCCTGACAGCCACAGGAGGCTGAGTGAGCGGTGTGAGAGAGGAGTCAACGTTCAGATCGAACTCTCCTCCCTCGCACCGCCGGCCGGCCTCCTGTGACAGCACTGGCTGTCTCCGCCCCCACACACCACTCTCCTCTGATCTGTGACAGGAGGCTGAGTGGTGCGTTGAGGAGAGATGCGGGCCGCTCACAGCGCTATCCTCCTGCAGCGCTCGGCAGCCTGTGACAGTTTCTCTCTTCCCCGCTGGGACACAGAGCAGCCCCCAGCAGGGAGGAGAGAAGGAACAGGTGTGCCGCTATATCAGCAGAAAAATGCCACTTTCTGCATTTTGCCAAAAGTGCAATTTTCGGACGTTATATTGGTGCATCCCTATTCAGGACCCTATCGAACTCAATAGGGACACGCAGCAAAGGAACATGCATGAACATGGTGCACATTCACGGAACACGCAGGTGTGAATGCAGGCAAAGAGAGCAGAAAGAACGCTCACCTGCTACTCGCTCTGTTTTGGTCAGCAAGAGAGTAAAACCAGAGGAGCAGGTATGTTCTCTCTCTACATATCCTGAGGCTGACATGTTACCAGCAGTCAACGAGCACTTATGAAGCCATTTTACTAGCTATATATAGGAACAAAATGTTCAACAGAATTAACACTGTACACATATAGTATTCTCTTTACAGATAAAGTTCCTTTCCAATTGGAGATAGAGCCATCCCAGTAAATGGTTATAGCGGAAGAGCCCTTCTCCTGTAATTTTTCTTGGCAATTATTACAGATTATACACCAAAAATAATAATTATAGAAATAACGTACATGTCTGGTCTGGAATAAAAAAACCTGCAGTACACCTATGCTATACAGGCACATTTATTCTTGTTTTGTCTCTTTAAAAATGCTAAAAATACAAAAATATACCTGTTGATCTGCCAGAAATACAGTCTGTTCTTAACTTCCTATGTGAGCCGAGTGCCTCTGCTGCATAAAGCTGCATTCAAATGGGGCGTTCTGGGATTCCTAAGGCAAGAACCTACGAATGCTTGCCTCAGAAATCCCCAAATGCAGCGAAAGCCCTCGTGTAAATGGGGCCTTAAAATTCCAAGTAAGCCTTGCCGAGCTCTCTTATGCTGGACTACAGAACAACTCCCGTCTCATCTCCATTACATAAAGGGGAGGTGTTCTTTCGTCCAAGGGCAGAACTGGGCAGGGCTGATAACCACTTGGAACTTCACTGTAGAAGAGTTCAGAGAAGTTAGTAAAACAATAGGTTTCTGGCAGGATCATCAGGTATGTTTTTGTACGTGCATCTTGTAAAAGATACTAAACATGGGGCAATGTGCATTTACCGCAGATATGTACTACAATGTATTGTTTTTTATTCTGCCTGCATTTATCTGTTCAGGCTGCACATTTTATTAATTTACCAAATAAAAAAAGTACGATGCCAGAATAAAAAGTAACAGCCCAGAAAACAAAACCCGACACACAATTCACAGGAGGTATGCGTCAGGTAAAACTTTCAAACAGTTACATATTTCATTACCAGTAATGAATTCCACCTACTGGTAAAGCAAGACCGTGAGGGAAAATGTATTAAAACTGGAGCTGACAGAATTTGGAGCAGTTGCACATAGTAACCAATCAGGAAAGTGCACCTCACGGCAACAACATTGTGTGAGCAAGCCCTAAAAGTATCTATAGCCAAAAAAACTTTTCTTCAGGTTTTGATAGGCTCGAGTAGGATTACAGTCCCAGTCAGGTATTACTGCCATCGGAGACTCCAGTAGAGAGATTCCTTCACTTCCTGCTTCCTGTATGGTAAAAAGCTTTTCCTCAGGACAAGAAGTAAAAATGTTTTTTTTATAAGCTAAAGTGAGCCTTCACCAATTACAAGAACTTCAATTCAGCTGCTATGTCCGCCCTCCCTCTCATACAATAACATAGTTGGATTTTTTTTTTAAAGTAAAAAATATTTTACAGGAGTGCAGCTCACCACTTCCCGATTCCTTGCCTAGGAGAGGATGACATAAGGATCACTACGCTGCTTCCTGGGATGTCCAGGTCACCAATCACAGTAGGCAGTCTTTTAGCGAGAGGCATTTGCATGCCAGGGGATATGCCATGGGTCTGTTTCAAGCATTTTGGACCTGGCTAAGACCTACGGCATGTCTGTGCAGGTGCTAAATCCCTGGTGTGTGTGCATACAGCCCAAATGTCTAAGCCAAGTAAAATACTTGAAGACCCACGTGTACACATGTGCGGAATTTCATGGTGGGCGCATACCTGGAAGTCTCGCCAAAGAGGATGGCGTCACAGCAGCAGAGTGGTGCATGGTAAACCTTAACTGCAAGGTAAGCAATGCTGGACTCCATGGTCTAGTCTAGAATGATTGTTTTTATTTTCATACAAGGGCAATTATTAGAGACAATTTTGTTTTAGCTAGGGAAGGTGAAGCTCATCTCCAAGTACGTGAATGCTGGATCCCGCGTCAGCCTTTTAGGCCTCATTCCCACTGGAATCGGCTGGCACGTACAGCTCCGTATCGAGCAGCTCCCGGGAAGGGCAGGTGCTGCGTGTGATTAGTACGCAGCCCCCGTCCTTCTCTACGGGAGAATGCGGCCGTACGCCGCCCTACGCTTACCCGCCCTGCACGTCCGTGCGGGTGAGCGTACTCGTACGCTGACAGGATGGATCCTGTCTGCGTCCGAGCCAGGACGCGCACTTGAGGTAAGCGTACGGCCGCGTAGTCCCATAGAGAAGGACGAGGGCTGCGTACTAATCACACGCAGCACCTGTCCTTCCCGGGAGCTGCTCGATACGGCCCTGCACGCAGCACGTAGCTGTACGTGCCGGCCGATTTCAGTGTGAATGAGGCCTTAATGTTTGTTTCTCTGGTATAAATTTTCCCTGACTTGCTGTTGTCCCAGGACAGACATGGAGGGTAAATTTCTGTAATGGTGGCGCCTCACATAGCAGTAATACCTGACAGGGGTTCCAATTCTTCCCAATTCTATCCAAAAATAAAGTTTTACTTATAAA